ATTTTGCAATCAACTGGTATTTCATTTTCTGTGTTTTGTGCAGAGAAAAACGTAAGATATCAGCTTAGACCAAACACTCACTGTGGAAAGACTTTTCATTTTTCATGTATGGGTTCTGAAACAGTGAAGAGATGCAAAATATCTCTTACATCTGTTTCTTCTGACCAGAACACTTTCTTTCTGTTCAATTCAAGCGGACTCTCCAAACAAATTCATTATCCTGGATATTTCTTTTCTTTCAATATTCCTTTCAGTTCTGAACATTGGGAGTTACAATCCGAGCATGAGATATGTGTTCTTCGTACAAAGTATGCAGATAAAAAAGATTTCATTTGGACAAGAGTTAATGCAATTCCTTCTTCAATGAAATATTCCACTTACAATTCTGAAAAGACAACTGAGGAACTTTCTTCAAAAGTAACATCAAAATTTCACCCGACTGTCGTATTAAACTACTATACAAAGAGAGTAGAGACTAAAAATATCTCCTTTACAGAAGAACGGTGCTCATGTTTATCAGGAGAATCCTGCAACGGAATCCAAAGAGAGACAACCAACTTCTCAAACCTGGAGGAAAAATTAACAAAAATACAGTCGTTCCTCATGGTGAATAAGTCATCCCTGAACTCCTTCATCAGAAGGAAAATATGTGCCGAAGATGAGCGTCCGACATCAAGGACCCTTGGTTTCATTGGTATTTTAGTCATCTCTGTATGTTTAGGGTCTATTGTTGTTTGCGATGTATTGTCATTTTTCGATCGACGATCCAAATGCATGAAAACCTGAAAGTGAGTCTTTTTGTATCCACCATATCCTTTTTATGAAGATAGATACAAAATATCGTTTTAATAAGTATTGATAAATGTAAATCACAAATTAAAAGGTTATATTCTTTTAAAATTCAAGTTGATTGCGAACTCTATGTTGACTATGTATGGTAGTGGTGCAAGAAATACTGAAAAAAAAATGAAAGTTTATTTTACTATTTACTATAATCAACGGATATATAAGGAATTGTGTTAATCATATGTCCTATATTTTAAATCAACATGACATTTTAACATGATATTTCTTTATATTTGAATTAATTTTCTTGTATTTTCTATAAAAATTATTAAATCGTGTATGCAAGATTTTCCCCCCAAAAAGAACATATGTTTATACATAATATAACACCGAATATGACAACGACAAATCAGTTTGATTCAACAGAGTTCATTTTTATTATAGATATTCAAGACAGCTAGATATAACTGTTTCACGACCTTTTTACCTGAAGTAATTGCCGGTTATTTATTTGAAATACACGAATTCTTGAAATACTAGTAATAAACTGTTAAAATCTGGGTTAAAGGTTTAATTGTATTGACAAATGTCACTCATTTCCGGCAAATTCTCACAATTTCCTGTAGAAATAATTTTGAATAAACTTTTTACTCAAATGGTTTAGCTGCTGCTTCAATGTATTTGTTTTTAGATTAAGAAAAAAAAAATGTAGAGCAGAGGAGGTGGAGCTAAATATAATGAAAATAAACTTTTATTTGAAGTGATGTAGAGTATGCTTTATTTTATTCATATTTTATTCATATTTGTGTCTATTTAATCAAGGTGTGTGTAAATAAAATATGTAAATTTCAAAGATAAGTGTCAGAAGTGATCTTTGATTGAAGGATGACCGATAAAAACAATTGTCACGTGCTCTGAAGTTGTTTATCACTCCATACACAATAAAATTAAGGCTTTAAAAGCGTGTTGCAATAAATCTGAGTTTTTTCATATAATGTAATTTTTACTTATAATTTTTTTATTAGCTTTTTATATATAATCATAACAGAAAATTAGCAAAAGTTTGAAATAAACAATGACTATAGATATCTTCTTTGTTAAATATCTGATAATGAATATTTTTGTATTTTCAAACAAAACCATTGGTTTGCTAATTGCTGGCTGTAAACAAGGCACAATAATTAAAAACTCGCTGATATCAACTTATTTGTAAGAATTCTGCCTTTGTTTCTCAGAATAAATAAAATAAAAACTATGAAAGTCTTGAAATGAAAATATGAATTGGAAAATATAAGATCTAGTTACTTCGTATCCAAAAATGATTCGTTTAAAGATAATTTTAGCTCTTCACAAGAATATCCTGATGGTGATAAAAAAAACTTTAGAAAGATACTGGAGTTTCCGACTGACAATGTGTATATCCTGTGAAATCACTGTCTTTTGTAGAGTGTTTATCTAAGAGACACGATTGTAACAAATATCTTAAATCAAGAATTCAAATCCTGTATTAATAATTATCTTTTTTATTAATGAAACCACTGATATTTTTCCAAGTGAAAAAAGTAAAATATGAGTCTTCGAATCTTCAGACAACCTTAGAAATTTCCTTATCTTTGGAAATGATTTTATTGTCCTGTGTAGGGAATTTGTTTAGTGATCCATTCGAGACAACTTTTGCTAGGTCTTTTGAAAAATTAATCTTCTTTTAATATAGTTACCCCCACTATTAAAATACACAAGGGAGGAATCTAAAAATAGGAAATTCGCTACCACCAATTCTGACCGGACTTTGTCTAGCTTCTGGGCGGCTTGCGTTGCCAACCAAGTAGGAGTGAGTGGGGTATAGATTCGATTTTTATATTCTTTAGTCAAATTCTCATCAACGCGTATCGTTAGTCATATAACTAATCTTTTTTTGGTGACATTTGGACCTGGCGACAGTTCGGCGTTGAATGCTGATTGGTCGCTTTCTGTAGATAACTCGTACACAAAGTTGCTCTCGAATTTAGTGCACCAAAACGGAGGGAAAATTAAACTGTCATGATGGCATTAAACAATACAGCTGTGATTTCATGGTACGTATTTTTCTTATATTTGGTAATATTTATATAAACATGTTACAAGCGTACATATCATTCACTAAGCATGTCAATCCTTACAGTGAATAAAATCAATATATGAAAATTTGGGCGCGGATCTATAGTGCCGGGTGAAATAAATCGTTTTAAATGAATTTTGTATTTGATATAATCAAATCTCCTGGATCTCCAAATCTAAGGTTCAACAGGTTTGCGCTGAACAAAATCTTCATACAATACATTGTACCATCTGTATGCCTCCAAAAGACTTGCTCTCCCTTCGAACATGTCTGCAGACATATTCTACTTGTTCAAATTAACAACTTTCATTAAACAAGGATATTTCATCAATCATTACACAATCTGTAGGCTGTATATGAGTTTCGACATGATAATTTACATCTGTCATTATTCGTTTACTCAAATTCCTCATTGGAGTACCGACCATCCCTTAGTCCAAAAAAATTGTGAACCGTCATGCCCTACATTTTCCCATTGTTTTTCATTTCCATGGCTATTTTTTTTTCGTAGAACCGTTTCCAGCTTAGTTTGGACTTTCAGTAAGGCGTGGCTTTCTCGGCGCTATATGTTTACCGCCTGTCAAAGGGCGAAAAGATTCTCATTGGTTAAGAAATTAAAAAACATCGGGAACTTTAAACTGATGTTCAAAACGACGAGACGACTTAAGCTCCACCTCTTTGGAGGACGAGACAATGTACTTGGTTATTCAATACACAAACGTAACGTCGAGAATGCCACGCCTTTCTGAAAGTCCAAACTAAGCTGGGAATGGTTCTAATATGACTTTTTCCTGTGGCTGCTGGTCCAATAAGGACGTTGTGACTCTCTGTCGCGATCTCCATTTTCCCTTACTTTTTAATTCGAGAGCTACTTTGAGTGCGAGTTATCTACGGAAAGCGTCCAATCAGAGCGCTGCATTCCATTTACACCGAAAATTTATATGGAAAGAACTGTCGTCAGATCCAATGTCGAAAAAAAAGATTAGTTATATGACTAACAATACGCGTTGATGAGAATTTGACTGAAGAATATAAAAATCGAATCTATACCCCACTCACTCCTACTTGGTTGCAACGCAAGTCGCCCAGTAACCAGACAGAAAGTCCGGTCAAAATTTGTGGTAGCGAATCTCCTATTTTTAGATTCCTCCCTGTGTATTTTTATAGTAGGGGTAACTATATTAAAAGATAAATATTTCGTGACAAGTCCATGTCATCACGAGAACGTTGTCCGCGGCAAAATGCAACTCGCAAAGGACTGTAGATCCACAGGTAACTGCAAGAAAAATTCATTTGGATCAATGCAAAATTCGAATTTTCTCTTCTTCAAGGTATCACTTTAAAAGCACATGGTATGCTAAATTTACGGAAGCGTATTTAGGACCAATAAAAATATTTTTGAATTCGATATCACGAATTGTCGAATTTGTTAGAACGAATATAATTCGTTATAACAATTTTTTGAATTTGTTATAGCTACTTTAATTTGTTATAACAAATCTGTTGAATAAGTTTTATCAAATTCAAAATTTTTTTTTCTAACAGATTAAATTCGTTTAAACGAATTCTAAAATTTTTAATAACGAATTAAATTCGTTTAAACAAATTGTGAAATTTGTGATAATAAATTAAAGTCGTTTAATCAAATTCAGCAATTGGGGCCTTTAGAAAAATATTTGTGAATCTGTTATAACGAATTCAACGAATTTGTTATATTAACAATTTTTAGAATCCGTTTGAACGAATTTAATTCCTTATTACAATTTTTGGAATTTGTTATAACAAATTAAAGACATCAGTTTTAACAGATAACTCTGCCATTGCCGGTCCCAAGCCCGGATGAGATAGGAGGAGGGTTGAGAGTAGGCCAGAAACCCCACCTCATAAAAACCACATATGCTACAGAAACGACTACAAGGAACCATATTTCAACTGGTGAACGGAGTGAAGCAGGCCATACAACTGGAATTATGACGGTTCACGACCCGAAAGCAGATCTCCTGACACCGAAACACCACATCCGAGTTGGATGTTGGAATGTTCGGACATGACATCATACTAAACCGGAAGACTTGCCCAAGCAGTAAATGAGATGAAATAGTACAACCTATCTCTGATGGCCATGAGTGAAGTCAGATGGACAGGAACAGGGAAAGAGAGACTGAACTCAGAGGAAGTTATTATATGGTCTGGACGAAGCGATAATAACCATCACGAAGGAGTAGCTCTCTTTTTATCAGCCACAAGCTTGCCAGTACGGCCCTTCAATGGAAGCCTATCAATGAACGTCTACTATATGTCAGACTTACATGTAACTCCCGATACACGAAGGTCTCCATAGCGAGTGCTTATGCATCAAAATGACTTTGTCATAGGTGGTACTTTCTTCGCCCATAAAACCATCCATAAGCTGACCTGGACATCACTAGATGGAGGCACCAAAAGTCAGATTGATCACATTATAATTAACAGTAAATGAAGGCACTCTCTGCAGGACGTGCGAGCTGTGCGCCATGCCGACATCGGTAGTGAACACAATCTTGTTATAGCATAGATCTGCTTAAACTGAGAAAGGCCAAAATCGGTTCCAGAAAAAACAAGCAATTTGATGTCAGCAAGCTCAAGGACCCAGGCATTAGAGAAGAGTTTAACATTACTCTCAGGAATCATTACAGCAAACTGCAGGACGAGACAGCTATCACTATCGATCAATTCCACCAATTCATAAAGGATGCCGCTGCAGAAGTCATAGGCTACAAGAAATATGCTAAATCGGAATGGTTATCCAAAGACACATGGACTACCATTGAAGAGAGAAAACAACTAAAGAAGAAGCTCTTAGATGCAAAGTCACCCATATTGAAAGAAAGGGCAGCTGTCTTGTATAGAAAGAAAGATAGGGAAGTGAAGACGTCAGCAAGGAAAGATAGGCGCCACTATACAGAGCAACTCGCTAAGGACGCACAGGAAGCCGCTGAGAGAAAAGACATGAAAACCGTCTATCAGATCAGAAAGAAACTAAGAGGTGATCACGGTCCCAACCAAGACCTTCCTGTAAAAGCAGAGGATGGTTCAGCAATAACAGAGGAATTGGCAAAACTAGAGAGCTGGAGAGAACATTTGGAGAATATTCTGAACCGACCAGATTCACCGATACTCCCTGATATAGATGAGGCAGAGACAGACCCTGAGATAGAAACTGGCTGCATTACAGTGAATGAGGTAAAACAAGCAATCCATAAACTAAAACAGTCCCCGGAGAAGATGTTGTATGCTCGGAAATGTTGAAATCAGAAGAAAGAGAAACACCTTATATACTGCAGCGTATCATCCAAGATATATGGGACAAAGAAGATATCCCAGATGACTGGAAGAAAGGAGTGATAATCAAGCTGCCCAAGAAAGGTGACCTTGGAGACTGCATTAACTGGCGTGGGATTACACTTCTCTATCTCACCAGCAAGGTCTTTAGCCAAACTATACTACAACGCATCACAGCTGCTGTAGATGACATACTTCGACAGGAGCAGGCCGGTTTCAGAAAATGGAAATCTTGTGTTGACCACATTTTTTCCTACGACAGATACTGGAACAGTCGTGTGAGTGGAATAGTACACCCAATGCTGTGTCACAATCAATATTTAATTTTAATTGCATTTACATTATGTTTATGGTTTTTATTTTATTTACCCTTTACTGGACCTCTATACTTTTGTTACCTTATTGAACCTCAGTTAAGTTTTGCAGGTATTGGTCAGTTACGACCTATTGTATTTTGGGGTATTTAAATCGCTGCATAGCTGACCAGGTAACCAGGGTCCACGTTTTCATAGCTTTTAAATGGTTGACATACAGTCCAAGATGAGTGGCTAAATTTTTTCTTTCAACGGTAACCATTTCTCCAAAGGGGTAAGTTTGTTTTTTTATTTCATATGTAAGTTTTTGAGTAATACATTTAAAACGTAGAATTATTTAAGAACTTGAGTTAATTAATGTTTTTGTTACTATTCACGTATACAGGTTTTGCTGGGTAGAGTTACTCATGCGTTTATTGTTCTATTTTTGTGCAATGTACTGAGTTATATACGCACGTAGGCTATTTTGTTTTGCCGCTTATAAAGTCGGTGTTGTGGGTTTAATAGTTAAAACCACTTTTGTTAAGATGTTGTGTATTCTTAACGTTTTTCTTATTATAATAGTGTTCGGTTAAAATTACCGGGACTGATTGTATGGTGTGCCATAAGTGCAATTGTAGTCAATGGTGACTTGAGTTTTTCTTTTGTATACGTGGCTTGTGACTTAAAAAAATGTTATTTAATTCAAAGGTTCCTGATGTTATCCAAGGTTAATCTATCCATGTGTGTGTTGGCAATGAACTTACCAGACCGGGATACCCACTGGGAGCCAGTTGGCGGGAGTCCGTCGTGAAACGGGTCATGTCTGGATAGACGTGGTTTAGAGTCAACGATATTGAGGATTAATAGAGACTTTAATTTCTGTGTATTGTAAATAATAGCTGTAAAAATATGTTGTAAATATTGTTTTTATTGATTTTATTTATAGATAAAAAAAAATTGTAAATAGAAAAAATCTGTCGTGACAAATTGGTGTCAGAAGTGGGATGATTAGTCTGTTCAGTCAGGAGTATTTTTGTATATTACACTTATGTTTTTTTTTCTTTAATCATTTTTGTTGTATTTTGCAGTCAAAGAGTTTGTAGATTTTTGACAGTCTCAGGGTGTGAGTACTTGGTTTATTGATGGAGCCCCAAATGGAGAAAGCTAGGTTACCGTTGCTTTGTTTCGTATGAATTGAGTTTGTATACTTAATTTATCTGTTGAGATACAAGTATACACATTTTTGAGAAAGATTTTCCACATTTCATTTTTGTTTTGAAAATCAATGTTGTTCTACTGGATTGTAGTAATATTTTTCATATTTAGTCAGTTAGTGTTAAGTTCTATTACAATGTCGACATTGAAAGAACTTGCAGAATATGGACAGAGTCTGAACTTGACTGGTGCGGACTTGCAGCAGTTTATACAGCAACAACAGGCACATCAGCGTGAGCTACGAGCGGCGGAAAGGGAGAAAGAGAAGCAGGACAGGGAGTATCATCTCAGTAGAGAAGCACTTGAAATTGAGAAACTCAAACTACAGGAAAAGAAAGGTATGGAAGAGATTGAGAGTAAATTCATGCAAACTATTCAAACCTTAGAGCAAAAGTTAGCTGTAAAGGAGTCAGAAACGAAATCAGAAAATCCTAGTAATGCAAAGTTTCCAAAAATGCCTGTATTCGATGAAGTTAAGGATGATATTGATTCTTATTTGAGACGTTTTGAAAGGTACGCTGCAGCACAGAAATGGAAGTTTGACAGTTGGGCTGTTAACTTGAGCGCACTACTCAGAGGTCGTGCACTGGATGTATATGCACTGTTGCCGCAGGAGAAAGCGTTGGACTATGATGCTTTGAAGACGGCGTTACTAAAAAGGTTTGAAAAGACGGAGGATGGATTTCGTCAAAAGTTCCGTAAGAGCAGACCTGAGGTAGGGGAAACTTTTTCACAGTTTGTTGTTCGTCTCGGTAGTTATCTCGATAGGTGGATTGAACTTGGTCGAGTTAACAAGACTTTTGATGGCCTCTACGATATGATACTCAGAGATCAGTTTCTGTTCATGTGTAACAAAGAATTGACATTGTTTTTGAAAGAACGCATACCGAAAAACATCAGAGAAATGTGTGATTTAGCAGATCAGTTTAGAGAGGCAAGGCATGTTAACATTCAGACATTAGTTCATTTTAGCAAGAAAGAGAACTCTCCAGGAAAAAGTCAGGCATCGAGAGAACAGGAACAGCGAGATCAGAAGCCAGGATTGAAGTTTCAACCCATGAAAACTCCAATGAAGAAAGAAGTTCGTTGCTTCAAGTGTGACAGACTGGGCCGTTTACTTCAAAAGACGTTGTTTGTGACGAGGTAAGAAAGATGGTGGAAGCCGAAGTGATCGAGCCTTCGACGAGTCCATACAGTTCCCCGATAGTCATCGTGAAAAAGAAGGACGGTTCGAACAGGTTTTGTATCGATTTTCGTGCAATTAATAAAGTAACTGTTTTCGATGCAGAAACCATTCCAAGTGCTGATGATATTTATGTACAATTATCTGGCTGTAAATATGTGTCCAAATTTGATCTATCTAAGGGATACTGGCAGTTACCTTTGGATGATGCAGCGAAGGAGATCACCGCTTTCCAAACGCCACTTGGTTTGTTTCAATTCAGGGTGATGCCCTTTGGCTTGATAAACGCTTCCGCAAGTTTCAGTCGCCTGATGCGTAAGCTCTTAGACGGAATGCAGTGTGTGGATAACTTTATAGACGATGTGATTGTGTACACTCGAACATTTCAGGAACATGTTAATGTAATTCGGGAACTTCTGCTAAGACTTCGTGCTGCGAATTTGACTGTGAAACCAAGTAAGTGTTTTATTGGTTACCGGAGTCTTGAGTGTATCGGACATATTGCAGGAAATGAAGAACTTAGACCTCTTCCTGACAAAGTTTCCGCCATTCACAACTTTACCCAACCTTCAACGAAGAAGCAAGTGCGATCATTTTTAGGTCTGGTAGGATTCTATCGTAAATTCATTCCGAATTTTTCAGCTATTGCTTCGCCTTTAACAGATCTTACCAAGAAAGGCCAGCCGAACAAAGTGATTTGGAGAGAACCTCAGGAAAATGCATTCATCACTCTCAAGAACGCTTTAACGGTAACACCAGTTCTTAAACTACCTGATTTAAATGAAAGCTTTGTTTTACAGACTGATGCGTCAGATCGTGGTGTTGTGGCAGTTTTGATGCAGTACGAAGATGGTGTGAAGAAACCTGTCGCATACGCTAGCAAGAAACTTTCCAAATGTCAGGTAAATTACTCTACAATCGAGAAAGAGTGCTATGCGATAATCTGGGCATTAATTAAGTTCTATTACAATGTCGACATTGAAAGAACTTGCAGAATATGGACAGAGTCTGAACTTGACTGGTCAAAGAATTGACATTGTTTTTGAAAGAACGCATACCGAAAAACATCAGAGAAATGTGTGATTTAGCAGATCAGTTTAGAGAGGCAAGGCATGTTAACATTCAGACATTAGTTCATTTTAGCAAGAAAGAGAACTCTCCAGGAAAAAGTCAGGCATCGAGAGAACAGGAACAGCGAGATCAGAAGCCAGGATTGAAGTTTCAACCCATGAAAACTCCAATGAAGAAAGAAGTTCGTTGCTTCAAGTGTGACAGACTGGGCCACATAGCATCTCAGTGCCACCAGACTCAGAAGAACCGGAACTCATTGAATGTTGTCGTCGATCGTACAGAAAAGGAATCTACGACAAAGAACTCAGAATTACAAGGCAAGTGTGGAACTTTTACTTCCTTTACAAACACATCAACATTTTCGATGGCGTCAAATTCAATGGACCTTGTAAACACTTCATCGTGTAACGTTAGTGCATATCTTGAAGATATGCCTACCTGTAAGGGCAAGTTAAATGAACATTTTGTGACAGTGCTTAGAGACACTGGTTGTAACGGTGTTGTAGTTCGTAGGGATTTGATAGATGATGTTCAGCTTACGGGAAATCATCGAATTTGTGTTCTGGCGGATGGATCTAGGATTCAGGCACCTGTTGCGCGAGTGAAAATAGACACTCCTTACTTTGTGGGTGAAATAGACGCTTGGTGTTTAGAAAATCCATTGTTTTCCTTGATCATAGGGAACATCCCCAACGCAAGAGATCCAAAGGATCCGGATAGAAACTGGACACCTTATCAAGCGCATGCAGTAGTGACAAGGCAACAAGCTCAAAAGGAAGGTAAGAAGACTAAATCTCTTCATGTTCCAGATATTATTGACGCTGAGATATGTCCTGACGACATCAAGGCAGCACAGGAGAAAGACGAGACGTTAACCAAGATACGCTCTTTGGTAGGACAAGACGACGACTCCAAGGTATCTTACATTAGTAAAAAAGGTATCATTTATCGTGTCTTCCAGTCAGATAAACATCAGAATGGTAAACGTTTTACACAGCTAGTTGTTCCAAAGAAATATAGGACTAAAGTTCTTTCGCTTGCTCATGAATCTATTATGACAGGTCACCTAGGTACTTCCAGGACAGCCAGCAAAGTCCTTGCAGAATTTTATTGGCCGGGAGTTCAAGCGGACGTACGTCGATTCTGCAGATCATGCGACATCTGTCAACGTACTACTCCGAAAGGCAGGACTACAAAGGTACCACTCGGAGATATGCCTATTATTGAGGTACCGTTCAGACGTGTAGCTGTCGATTTGGTAGGACCTATCCAGCCAGCAACCAGTAAGGGTAATCGTTACATTTTGACTATTGTTGACTTTGCTACCCGTTACCCAGAGGCAATTGCTTTAAAAGGAATTGACACTGAACGAGTCGCTGAGGCTCTGGTAGATGTATTTTGTAGAGTAGGAGTACCGAAGGAAATGCTCACGGATATGGGGTCACAATTTACATCCGAGCTGATGACAGAGGTTAGTCGTTTACTTTCTATACGACAGTTAACAACGACACCGTACCACCCCATGTGCAATGGACTGGTCGAGCGGTTCAACGGTACATTGAAGCAGATACTCCGACGGTTATGTGCGGAACGTCCTACTGATTGGGATAAGTATCTATCAGCCTCATTGTTTGCTTACCGTGATGCACCACAGGAGAGTTTAGGATTCTCACCGTTTGAACTGGTTTACGGACACGAAGTTAGAGGACCTATGAAGATTTTGAGGGAGTTGTGGACTAAAGAAGTAGCAGATTCAGAGGTTAGAACTACATACCAGTATGTTGTTGATTTGAAGGAACGACTAGAAGCTACGTGCAGATTAGCGAGAGAGAATCTACAAAAGTCGTCAGAGAAATACCGGAAGTATTATAACAAGGGAGCACGGAACAGACAAATGTCAAAAGGTGAGAAAGTTCTTATTCTTTTACCAACTGCCAGTAACAAATTACAAATGCAATGGAAAGGTCCATATGAAATTATAGAGAGACTAGGAAAAGTTGATTACAGAATTAACGTGAATGGAAAAATCAAAACATTTCATGCAAATATGTTGAAGTTGTACATTGACAGAGCAAACGAGAGTAATGATGAGACAGGTGTTCTAGGTGTTGTAGGCGCCGCAGTACTCGATCTAGATGATGATGGAGAGGGCGACGATGAGCTGTTGTGTGATTCTCCAGGAGAAACGAAAAAGGAGGGACCGGCAGATGTGAAAGTAAGTGATGAACTAACTGAGAATGAAAAAGCAGAAGTCAAGACATTACTAGAGAATTTTTCAGATGTTTTATCAGATGTACCTGGTTTGACGAATCTCGGAGTTCATCATATCAAGTTGACTAGTGACCAGCCTATTCGCACCAAACCTTATCCTCTGCCGTTTACTTCAAAAGACGTTGTTTGTGACGAGGTAAGAAAGATGGTGGAAGCCGAAGTGATCGAGCCTTCGACGAGTCCATACAGTTCCCCGATAGTCATCGTGAAAAAGAAGGACGGTTCGAACAGGTTTTGTATCGATTTTCGTGCAATTAATAAAGTAACTGTTTTCGATGCAGAAACCATTCCAAGTGCTGATGATATTTATGTACAATTATCTGGCTGTAAATATGTGTCCAAATTTGATCTATCTAAGGGATACTGGCAGTTACCTTTGGATGATGCAGCGAAGGAGATCACCGCTTTCCAAACGCCACTTGGTTTGTTTCAATTCAGGGTGATGCCCTTTGGCTTGATAAACGCTTCCGCAAGTTTCAGTCGCCTGATGCGTAAGCTCTTAGACGGAATGCAGTGTGTGGATAACTTTATAGACGATGTGATTGTGTACACTCGAACATTTCAGGAACATGTTAATGTAATTCGGGAACTTCTGCTAAGACTTCGTGCTGCGAATTTGACTGTGAAACCAAGTAAGTGTTTTATTGGTTACCGGAGTCTTGAGTGTCTCGGACATATTGCAGGAAATGAAGAACTTAGACCTCTTCCTGACAAAGTTTCCGCCATTCACAACTTTACCCAACCTTCAACGAAGAAGCAAGTGCGATCATTTTTAGGTCTGGTAGGATTCTATCGTAAATTCATTCCGAATTTTTCAGCTATTGCTTCGCCTTTAACAGATCTTACCAAGAAAGGCCAGCCGAACAAAGTGATTTGGAGAGAACCTCAGGAAAATGCATTCATCACTCTCAAGAACGCTTTAACGGTAACACCAGTTCTTAAACTACCTGATTTAAATGAAAGCTTTGTTTTACAGACTGATGCGTCAGATCGTGGTGTTGGGGCAGTTTTGATGCAGTACGAAGATGGTGTGAAGAAACCTGTCGCATACGCTAGCAAGAAACTTTCCAAATGTCAGGTAAATTACTCTACAATCGAGAAAGAGTGCTATGCGATAATCTGGGCAGTTCAAAAGTTCCGCAGGTATTTGTATGGTAAGGAATTCCTACTAGAGACAGATCATCAACCACTAGTATATCTTACCAAAGCCAAGGTGTCTAATGCACGTCTGATGCGCTGGGCATTACTTCTGCAACCATACAGGTTTCGCATTATTTCCATCAAGGGTTCTGAAAATGTAGGAGCTGATTGTCTTAGCAGAATTTAGATATGTATATAATTATATATAGTCGATTTTATGCTATAATTGATTGTGTTTTTTTTCAAAAGTTCGTTGAACTTTCTTATGTTGGGGAGATATTGTCACAATCAATATTTAATTTTAATTGCATTTACATTATGTTTATGGTTTTTATTTTATTTACCCTTTACTGGACCTCTATACTTTTGTTACCTTATTGAACCTCAGTTAAGTTTTGCAGGTATTGGTCAGTTACGACCTATTGTATTTTGGGGTATTTAAATCGCTGCATAGCTGACCAGGTAACCAGGGTCCACGTTTTCATAGCTTTTAAATGGTTGACATACAGTCCAAGATGAGTGGCTAAATTTTTTCTTTCAACGGTAACCATTTCTCCAAAGGGGTAAGTTTGTTTTTTTATTTCATATGTAAGTTTTTGAGTAATACATTTAAAACGTAGAATTATTTAAGAACTTGAGTTAATTAATGTTTTTGTTACTATTCACGTATACAGGTTTTGCTGGGTAGAGTTACTCATGCGTTTATTGTTCTATTTTTGTGCAATGTACTGAGTTATATACGCACGTAGGCTATTTTGTTTTGCCGCTTATAAAGTCGGTGTTGTGGGTTTAATAGTTAAAACCACTTTTGTTAAGATGTTGTGTATTCTTAACGTTTTTCTTATTATAATAGTGTTCGGTTAAAATTACCGGGACTGATTGTATGGTGTGCCATAAGTGCAATTGTAGTCAATGGTGACTTGAGTTTTTCTTTTGTATACGTGGCTTGTGACTTAAAAAAATGTTATTTAATTCAAAGGTTCCTGATGTTATCCAAGGTTAATCTATCCATGTGTGTGTTGGCAATGAACTTACCAGACCGGGATACCCACTGGGAGCCAGTTGGCGGGAGTCCGTCGTGAAACGGGTCATGTCTGGATAGACGTGGTTTAGAGTCAACGATATTGAGGATTAATAGAGACTTTAATTTCTGTGTATTGTAAATAATAGCTGTAAAAATATGTTGTAAATATTGTTTTTATTGATTTTATTTATAGATAAAAAAAAATTGTAAATAGAAAAAATCTTGTTATATCTGACTGGACAGAGCACGACGGCTGTCGTGACATGCTGTATTTGTTGATTTTGAGAAGGCCTTTGACAGACTACACCGCGAATCTCTCTGGAGATCCTGCGCCACTACGGCATCCCACAGAAACTGGATCATCCAGTCCCTCTACAACAACTTTGAGTACCGAGTGATACAGAACAGCCAACTCACGAAGCCCTTCGCAGTGAACACCGGAGTGAAGCAAGGATGTATTCCGTCACCTGTGCTATTCTCACTTGCAATTGACTGGGTTATGAAGAACACCACACAAGTCAAAAGACAGGAATTGCAATGGACACTGATCTGAATCCTAGAGGACCTTGATTAAGCTGATGACCTTGGCCTCCTTTCAAACAGGCATCAAGATATTCAGCAGAAGACAGAGCTCCTCAGTGAAACATCTAACAAAATAGGATTGAAGGTGAATACCAACAAGAGGCCCATAGGCCACATCGCTCACCTCAATAGCTTTGACCATGCTGTTCTTTACCAGATTTCCCCCTTGTAATAACCTATTGTGATTCCAAATTATGGCCCCGTCCTACCCCCGGGGGTCATTGAACAATTTAGAATCTACACTACCCCAGGATGCTTTCACATAAGTTTCAGCTTTTTTGGCCCACTGGTTCTTGAGAAGAAGATTTTTATAGAATTTTCCTATATATTTCTATGTAAAACTTTGATTCCTTATTGTGGCCCCGCCCAACCCCCGGGGGTCACGAGTTAAACAATTTAGAATCTACACTATCCCAGGATGCTTCCACATAAGTTTCAGCTTTTCTGGCCCACTGGTTCTTGAGAAGAAGATTTTTAAAGAATTGTCCTATATATTTCTATGTAAAACTTTGATTCCTTACTGTGGCCCCACCCAACCCCTGGGGATCACAATTTGTATAATTTAGAATCTACACTATCCCAGGATGCTTCCACATAAGTTTCAGCTTTTCTGACCCAATGTTTCTTGAGAAAAAGATTTTTAAAATTTTTCCTATATATTTCTATGTAAAACTTTGATTCCCTATTGTTGCCCCGCCCAGCCCCCGGGGGTCATGATTTAAACAATTTAGAATCTACACTATCCCAGGATGCTTCCACATAAGTTTCAGCTTTTCTGGCCCCGTGGTTCTTGAGAAGAAGATTTTTAAATTTTTTTCCTATATATTTCAATGTAACCTTTGATTCCCTATTGTGGCCCCGCCCAACCTCCGGGGGTCACGATTTAAACAATTTAGAATCTAGGCTACCCCAGGATGCTTGCACATAAGTTTCAGCTTTTCTGGCTACTGGTTCTTGAGAAGAAGATTTTTAAAGTTTTTTCCTATATATTTCTATGTAAAACTTTGATTCCCTATTGTGGCCCCGCCCAACCCCCGGGGGTCACGATTTGAACAATTTAGAATCTAGGCTACCCCAGGATGCTTTCACATAAGTTTCAGCTTTTCTGGCCCACTGGTTCTTGAGATGATTTATAAAGTTTTTTCTATATATTTCTATGTAAAACTTGGATTCCCTATTGTGGCCCCGCCCAACCCCCGGGGGCCATGATTTGAACAATTTAGAATCTACACTACCCCAGGATGCTTCCATATAAGTTTCAGCTTTTCTGGCCCAGTGGTTCTTGAGAAGATTTTTTCAAGACCCCACCCTATTTTTGTCTTTTCTTGATTATCTCCCCTTTGGAGGGGACTTGGCCCTTCATTTTAACAATTTAAACTCCCCTTTACCCAAGAATGCTTTGTACCAAGTTTGGTTAAAATTGGCCCAGTGGTTCTTGAGAAGAAGTCGAAAATGTGAAAAGTTTACGGACGGACAGACGGACGTACGGACGACGGACAAAATGTGATCAGAAAAGCTCACTTGAGCCTTCGGCTCAGGTGAGCTAAAAAGGCACAGGTTTTACGAGTAAATGCCACTAACAGTAATCCAGCACTGATCAACGGCAAGTCACTAGAGGATATTGAGGAGTTCACATACAGGGGTAGCAAGGTCACCACAACGGGCGACTGCAATAAGGAAGTCGACACAGGAATTAGCAAAGCAAATCAGGCTTTTGCAATGTTGAAACCCATATGGAGATCCTCATCACTCAACATCAACACCAAGATCAGGATCTTCAACAGCAGTGTCCTCAGTGTCCTCTTTGTATGGATCAGAGTGCTGGAAAACATCTCTGGAGATAGAAAGGAAACTAGAAGTCTTCCAAACACAGTCCCCTAGACGCATCCTCAAGATCTTATGGCCTAACACCATCACAAATGAAGATCTACCAGAAAGAACTGGGATGCCTACAATATCACAGACCATCCAAATACGGCGATCGCTTGGTCATCTCCTGTGCATGCCTCCCAACTCACTGCCCAGGGTTGCCCTTAGATGAACACCCTAGGGAAGAAGAAACAGGGGCCGGCCAAAGGAGACATGGAGAAGAACTGTCCTGAAAGACCTGAAAACCAGACGTCTATCCATTAAGACGGAACCACGAGCAGCTGCAGACCGAGCCAGATGGAAATACCTTTTAGCCGCCTCAAGCACCTGATGGCACAGAGATGATTGAATGAGTAAGTTTTAACAGATTTAATATATCAAAATGAAAAAATATTTTTGATAGGTTCCGTATAAATTTGTATACGCATTTAAATATATTATTATAATCATATTATATTCGATCAAAAAGAAAACATCTGCAACTGATAAGACGGAAATACCCTGTGTTACAGCGTATGGAAAGTTATTGATACAATTTTTTCTTTGGCCTGTAATTAAAATTAAAATATAACAATACCATAAAGGGAGACATCCTGCCGATGGCACCGACTTCACCGGTAGCATTCAAAAAGCTTCCGGTTCCTTCAGTTGCCCCAAAAAATTCTATTATCCGCGGAATCTTGAACCTGGTTTTAAATTCTTCCCAAATGTCTATCCGAAGTCCATTTCCGAACGCCACACGTACGTTGTGCACACCATCCAGATCGTTCTGTGTCAAATACATTTAACCCAGAAATTTCCACTTAATGTTTCATTTTGATTGATTGATTGTATATTGTTTAACGTCCCTCTCGAGAATTTTTCACTCATATGGAGACGTTATGTTTAATTTTGAACAGGCAATACATGTACATTAAAAGTTGCTTGTTTTCTCAATAACTTTATACTTTACCTTTGGTACACGTAGTAAATATCGGCATAATTCTCCTATATATTGTATGACTGTAACTTTATATTTGCGCACATCTTCCCAGTAATGACGGGCAGAGAACTTGCGGCGAAGGACTATAGTTGCTCCTATTAAAAGCAAGAATCAGGGGCCCGTTTTACAAAAGAACGTACGATTAACACTGATTGTAAAATTTCGCAAAATTAATAATTGTGTGAAAAGTTGCTTCTATGAAAATATTTTTCTACATTTCTTTTAAAAAGATTAAAACCATTTTTAATTTAATGCAAATTAGAAAGTTCTAAGTAGAATTATTTTTTTTTTTTGTCTAATTCGTTAGTTTCTTTTGTAAAACAGATCCAGATACTCTTCAAAGTAAGAAAACGAACTGATGCTATAAAACTCTATACGTAAGGATACAGTCATATATACCTCTTTCAATTGTATTAAATAGGCACATCGTGGTGCTAGCACTGTGGTATAGAGGTGTAACAGCATAACCTATATCGTTTTCATTGTAACCGAACGCTTGCCAATACACCGAGGAAGACATGGCTTTCGAATTGTTGATTATTGCTGGCTTAGGTAGTCCTGCAAATTCACACAATGTCAGTTTGCAAGTGTTTTGCAGTTATAATGATCAATAAAATTATTACCTGAATTTGAACATATACAATTTTGGACTGTTTAGATGGGAGACATCACCAATTATCACGTCTGAGTAGGGTTGTCACCCGAGGGCCAGTTAAGTACAGTAAAAATACGTTTATAACGAACATGCTTAAAATGAATTTACGTTTAAAGTGATTTCAAGGATATAAGGAATTAGGTTTAAGAAACAAAATCGTCCATCGCCGGCACTTCGTTATGAACATGTTTACTGTATAGAGAATATTCAAAATAACGCTCGTACACACCTGTTGTACCAGAGGTATAAATGTAGCAGACGGGACTGCGTAAGGTGGTCCCCTCTCGGTGTACCTTAGAAAGAGCCACAGGAAGGGTACGAAGAAGTACGTCGTCCATGGCAACGAACTTTGACGGGAGGTCAGTTTGTCGCTTTCCCTGAACATATATTTTAATGTCGGGTAAATCGTTCAGTATCTGTTGAATCGACTCTAGATGACCATCTCCTGTCATAGAATGAAAGTTAAATTAGATTACATGTACTTATTGAATTAACATCAAAATGACCATTTTTATTGATATAATACCTGAGCCAATGATGAGCACGGGTGCGTCGCTGACCTTGATGGAATGTATGAGTGGATGAGCCTTTAAGTGGTAATTAATAAAAGCTCCTACAAGTCCTGCCTTCTGTAGACCTACAGTAGATTACATGGTTTATGTCATTATAAAAGTCTTAGTTTTTTTATAGAAAGTCGTTTGCTCAGGAAAAATTATGTGTCACCTAGAAATGTCCATACAAATGCAGGTTCATTTTCTATCATCATGGCGACTGAAGAATCCCGGGGAAGGTTCCATGATGCAGCAAGATTTGCCACTTTATTGGCCATGGTGTCGACAAATTCGTACGAATATTGTCTATCCTCAAAAATGATGAATGTCTTTTTCGGTAGTTTGACCACATTCTCTTCAAACATATCCAGTACTGTCCTTCCTTTGCTAAAGTTTTCGCCAATCCTTTTCAGAACTTCCAAAAATACTCTAATTGTCTTGATATCGTCACCAATCCACGGAAATAATGTCTTCCAGGCTGCATAGCCTGCGCCACCCATCCCAGAGACCAGCAGGAGGGCTTTTTGTCGTCCGGACATCTATATGCAAGTAAAATGAAATTTGAAATATAAAATACTCAAAATGAAATATTTCAACATTTTTTTTAGCTTGAATTATAAATTACTAAACTCTATTCAATTTAAACACTCTGATATTTGCTGAACATTTTGTTCTGTTTAGAACGATCTGAAATTGTAAGCTTTTTTGTTACAAAATTAAAAAGAATTGTCCATATATGTCCTAAAGTGTCTTGCAAATTGTGTACGGTTCTTAATCATCAGACACTGAAAAAGGTTTCGTAAATCAGTACTATTGAGAAATATGTGTATTATTTAAATATGTCTGTATATTTTTTTTCTATACATACGTACAAATATGGCGATTAAATCTGCTATTTTTTCTACACAGCTGTTTTTCACAGGTAAATAATTCTGTGCTAATTGTCCCTAGTGAAATAGTAAGTCGTGGTAATTCTTCCCCAGCAATTTTCTTTTTTCCATCATGTCCCATTTCGGAACTCTTCTGGCTTTCAGATTTAGTTTCTCGGGAAGCAGCTGTTGTTGCGGGGAGCAATTAAATCGTTTTTGTCATCATAGCCATTTCAATTCTCAAAATTTAAAAAAGAATTTGCATGAAATTTTGAAATTGCATATTTCCATCATAGTGTTATATTTTCTATTCTCGTTTGATATGGATCTACGATATCCACTTGCGCGAGATCAGGAAGAACCGTAGCAATTTATGAAAAAACAAGAGGCCCATGGGCCTTTTAGGTCACCTGAGTATCATGTAACAACTTTCCAGCGATTGTATTTGGTTCTTGTTTTAAGCCAAAAGCCATGAAATTCACAAATTTTGAAAGAGGCACCATTGCTTATCAAAGGGCAGATTTCAAAGCATTAATTTATTTTATTAGTCAAAGTACCCCCTGGTACCCCTGACCCAACAGCCCTGAAATTATCTATTTTGAAAGAGGCCCCTTTCTTCATTATAAGGCCAGCATTTTTTTTTTATGTTTAGGTTTAGTTATGAACATGAGAATAAAAAAGTCCCGAAGGAGAAGGAAAAAAAATTTTTTTTTGATAAATCAATTATTAACATTTGTACATTCTTTTTTTATGCTATCCTAATAGGCTCCTTACCACTGGACACATAATGCTTACAAATAGGAAAGTAGAACATTTAATTGCTTATTTCATCATCTGTCAGTTTGGGCCAGTAATATAAATTTTGTGATGTTGATCAAAATATATTTTAAAAAATCAATTCTTTAAAAGTCTTTCAATATATCTTCATTTTTAAGCGGTTAGCTTCGCTAACCGCTTTATGGCATGTGTCCGATTTTTATCGACACCGGAAACTTCCATAAGGCGCTACCTATCGACAACGGAAACTTCAACAAAGCCTCTACCTAGTACCTATGATTTGTTTCTAACACATATAACATATGTTAAATAAAATCAAGACTATCAAAACAACATAATCTTCGGTTTTTAATTTTTTTCTGATTTTGTTTGTCAATGAAATAAATTTATAATTGTTGTATTAAAAAAAGTTTATGTATAGGAGCATTTGGTACCGAGATTAAATTTCCGTGACATCAGCTGATGGCGATCGGGCCCTGTGACGAAATTCGAAGTCAGCATGAAATTTAGCTGATAACATTATCAACGCGTTAGATTAAACTTGAGGAAGAAATGTATAGCGAGAAATATCATATTTGAACCCAACGCTACACGAAAACCAGTAGGCATTTCCGATTTATGTGTTAAATTGAAGCCTGAATCGAACAGGTGGTCAAAATGGCGTTGGACACCTTGTGTATTTATATATAGAGGGGGTAGAATGTTTCGATATTTGGCTAATTTAGAGACTTACTGATAAAAATTCAGGTGCCTGAGATTAATTATAAGGCACCCCTCATGAACAATAAATATTTGACCGAATTATGCTACTGGGCACAGGGAGGACGGGTTAATAACTGGCAAAAGGGGTTGAAGGTTATTACCGACTGCAAAACATCGGAGAATCTCTCGATCGAGTTTCATTTTCCAAAATATTAAGGCATCCCTTTAATTAACTTAAATAATACTAGTACATGAAGAAAGCCTTTATATAAAAATACTGAATACATCTGTAAGTTGTACAGTAATGGATTACTTCCATAATGAAACGTTTGTTTTCTTCTCCTTTTTTTCTCAATTGAAATTATTTAAAAGATGATAAAAGCTTTGTTTCCAGGGATAAATTCTGTACTCAGTCTAATTATTACAAACGATTTTAAACGATCACATTTTTATTTAAAAAAAAATAATGGGAGCCTGAAAATACTAAAATTAATTTTAAAAAATTGGAGAAAAAAATTTAATCGGCATTCGATCCTTTTCTAAAAATCAGCCGATATAAAATGTGCACAGAAAAAAGAGGCATGAAAAATCTTGACGATAAGCACAAATTGAAAATTATATCTAATGAAAATGATTATTTTTGAAAGTTTGCTAAATTCCTATACTAGGTATAAGTTGTAAAAATACTTTTTAAATTTGAATTTGTCCAATTTGTTAATTATCATTTTGAGCCTTTGAGAAGAAATAAAAATTAAAATACAGATGCTTACAGACATATTGATAGAAATTCGCATACTTGTTTTTAGTAAAAAAAAAAAAAAAAAAAAAAAACAAAAACAAAAAAAAAACCAATGTATTGCTTATGCGACATATTGAAGAAAGTGACAGTGATACCTAGGTAATTCTTGCAATAGACAATTTAATTGTTTGTTATACACTGACTTTTAGTGAACCTTTGAATTTTTAAAATACTAGTATTGATGGATTAAACAACAACTTTCCTTTTCACAGTTCATAATATTAATAAACAGATATACTCAGTATCTGTATCAAAATACAGAATGAACAGTGATCGGTCTCAAAAGAAAAACGGATCCTTGAAAGTTCCGGTGCCTAGGAGAAGTAAGCATCCCCAATGACAGGTCACACCTGCTGACCCGCAGTGAGCCTACGAAACTGAAGCTCTCTGAAATTAATTAATTCTCTGCTCGTCCATCCGTTTTTCTCAGACTAGCCAGCTAAAGATCTATGTACAGTACTCCATATCAATTAATCTAAAGAATTTGAATTATCATTTTATTTTCTTTTTGAGTTGTTTGCTATAGTAGCCTTTACAGTTACCTAGTTTCAGAATCAATACAGCATGAGAGCCAATTAAATTTGCAACATCAACATAATTTTTTTTTCGTTCTGAGCACTTTTGGACGCCACCAATGGAGACAATTAGGGAGAAATTTTTGAAATTGAACTTCCTGTCTTTCAAACTGAAAATCTCAGGTTGATATTTTGAAACAAACATTTGTGACATCAGTCTGGGATCTTATTGGTTATACCATTTAGTTAAGTACTACAAAAATTCAGTGTGTCTGCTTCTTCGCTGATGACACTGGAAAAAGATATGCATGCCTACTTTAATATCATCATTCAATGCATTTTTTGTTACTGTACACTGTACATATTCGATGAAAGCATGCTAATCGCTTTTCAGTACTTTCAGTGCTTTGATTTTAATATGTGTTAGGTGAATGTGTAGACATTATTCTAAAATTTACTTGATGCCTAAAATTATAATTCCTATCATAAAACAGACAGGGAGTATTGGGGAGTAGGGTCAACATTTTTTCAATTAAGTGTAAAATAATTTTTCTGGCTGATACAAATGATACTACATGCCTGTATATATTTGTATATTCTTGCCTTTTAATAGTTGAATTTTTTTTATTTCTTCAGGTTATTGTTTATTTCTTCCTCAAATGGACTTCACTTCTCCCATAGTTTTATTCATTACATCTGATGCATAAGCAACCCTTTTCTGAAGAATGGTGCTTAGACTGTAAGCTATAACAGAGACCTAAACAATGTCCCTGGC